TTATTGGCATCCTTTGTGAATTGGGGTCTTTATATAAATGAGGACCAGCAGAACCAGGAGGAGTTACAAGAATTAAGACAGAGGAATGACAACCCCTTTTCCTCAACTATTGCAGAAGGGCTCATGAACATGCTCTTCCTACCAGCCAACTGTATCTAAAGATAGTTTCCTAGAAGCTTTTGTCAAAGTTGTCAGTCCCTTGGTCTAAATCTCAGCCTTCTTAGGTCAGAAGTCGGCAAGATCTATGAAGCACAATGATCTTTCTCTTGCTACAATGTCAGAGTGATACAAGTCAACAGAAACCTTTTCAAAAGAGACAAAACAGAAAAATTCACGCTTGGTCTGTTCAAACACTCTGTAGAACAGCAAACGTTAAGAAGAGAGTGGCAAAGGTTCAGTGTTTGTATCTCAGTGATTTGCAGGAGGAGGGTATAAGAAAGGTACTTTCTGCTAAATTCTCACTTTCCACTCTCGGGCCAGATTCCTGTAGTTTTCATCATGTATCTTTTTTGTGATTAATGATGTGCACTCAGTTAATGGAATACAGCAGATTAGGTTTCCACTAATAGTTTTGCAAGTTACATACACTGTCAGTCTGCCTCATTTAGTAACAACCTAACTGTTCAGTAGAAAAGTGATGAAATTAATCCCAAAGCAGAACTTAATTTCATGTATACAAGACTTTGTAGGTCAGATTTCCAGAGTGCAGAAAAGTACACTTCAGAGGTGTGCAGCTCTTCATTGCAAATCTAATAGTGATATAGTATACCATCTAATAGTGAGATAATACACCATCTAATAGTGAGATAATACACCATCTAATAGTGAGATAATATACCACTAAAGACTTTGTTTGCTTTCACTTCTGTTTAGTAATTGCTTTAGGAATGCATTGCATTGACTTAAGATCTGTAAAATCGATAAAATAGTATGCTGAAACTATGGCAAGTAGAACCAATGTAATATGATAATTTCTACAATTAATACATGGAGCTGAGAAAACTTCTATTACTCTGAAGACAAAAATCAGTTGCTTATACGAGTGTTAATGTATTACTGCAATTACTATGTCAAAAAATAAAATTTGCATATGTTTTTCCTGTTTCTGCTACACAAAATGTTGGCTATAATTACATGCGTATGTACCTGTATTTTCAAGGGCATTCTTATCCTTAAAGGTGACTGGAATATAAATGCAATCTACCATTGCAAATAACCAGTATCCTCCTCCATTCTGGAGCTATAACAGCCTCAAAGAACACTAATTATTGTTAGAGCAAACTGATTTTCATAGACTGTCAGAAACAAAGTAAAGTATGAAATATGAAGAAAACTCCAGTAAGTCAACTCATTAATTAAATTTTCTACAATCTGAGCTCACTTCCCCTGGTAAATCTAGTAAAATGTTTCATAGTGTTCATGGTCAAGGCAGTCACCTGACACTTTTTTCTACTAAGGACAAGGCAATTTTCCTTTAACTGTTTTTCATCTAATGCATATTTTAAAGATATTTTATGTGAAATACTTTTGGAACTTTAGCTATTTACTCCAAAAAGTTTGTTTAGACGGAAATATAGTCAAATTAAGTTTATTTCACAAATCTGACACATCCTTCTGAAGAGATCTGAGGTACTCCTTTCCTTTCACACACACACAAAGACAACTCCAAATTTCTCTACTGGCATTTCAAAACTGGCCTCTGACATTCAGTGCTTAAAGTTATTTAATTGCTTTTTAAATAGAGACCTTCTTTACCCTATATCATGCAAAAAAAAAAAAACTGCCACATTTTATCTGTAAATGAGCACTTATCAAAAACTACATGAGTACTGATTTTGAAAGCTATCGAAGAACTATGGGAAAAAATGATGGGATACTTTTTTTTCATGATTTTTCCTTATAACAGAGATCATGTCTAAAGTATATGCAATGCTAACTGTTTCAATAATTGTGTGCAGGCACGGCAAATCTACAAATTACTAACTGATAAAAATATCAGTCATGCATTTTATTGAGCATGATGCAAATAAAAATACTCTGCTATCTGCTCTTATTGATTCATTTTTTTTGTTTTGCTAGGTTAAATGTGTGTTGGAGTGAAACAGCCACACAGGAAATAATTTCCAGCTCAAATTTTAATCTTCAACAAGAAATGTACTCACAGCTTCATTTAGTTAGTTATTTTTTTCTCAGAGAAGACATATCTAAAAGTATCCCCTTGGTCAGGCTGAAAGACCCATGCACAGTTTGTATTTCTTGTTTAAATACAGCACAGTCACACATAATCTAGCAAACTGTCAAGCACAACAAAACTGAACAAAGAACTATTCATCTAGTTCAAGTAAAATAATCCTACATTAGAAGTAACACTACAGTGTAGTCTGTGGCCATAGCAAAATGTGGTTAATATTAATGACTCACATATAGATATAAAAAAAAAGTAATGTATAATGATTGTATGGATATCACATCTTAATTATTAAAGAAAATCTGCATAGATAAATTTATTTCATTTATCAAAATTTACTGCTATAATGTTGTTTTTGGTGTTTAGCTTTGCTTTCAATTTATTTATTTGTTTGTGAGGCAGAGAGAGAGAGACAATTCTAATTCATAGGCTAACTCCTCAAGTGCACATAAAAGTCATAGGCCAGAGCCGCCAGCCAGGAACTCAGTCCAGAACTTCTGCCTGGGTGGAAGAGACCCAACCACATGGAGCATCACCTGTTGCCTCTCAGGGTCTGCTTGAACAGGAAGCTGGAATGAGGAGCCACAGCTGAGAATGGAACCCGGTGCTTCAACATGGGGCACCAATGTCCTAGCCAGCATAATGAATCACAAGGTCAAACAGTACTCCTACAGTAATAAAGGTACAAGTAACAGTTTGATCTCTTCCAGAATCATCTTCCTAGATAGAAAATAGCAAGCAGAGTTAACCAAAGCCTATCTAAATCCAGAACGCACAATTTTAGTACTTTTGCTACAATGCCATTTGGGGCGGGGCAGGGGGTTGCTTTGCAGGCTGCATCATGGCTGAATGTGTCGCGGAGAGTTTCACTCTGCTGAATCAGGGTTGCCTCTTTTCAGTGCTACACCACAGTCAAATGACAGTTCCTCCCGCAACCAGCAAAATGATAACCTGTTGTGAGGGTGACCCAATGATGATGGAAATCTACTCACTGCAGATGGAGATGAGTTCATTAACCATGAATCCAGTTCCTCAGCATCAATTTCACACAGCCTACTCACATTCCTGTCACATGTTGCAGTCCCCCAAAGCCATGCAAACATCAACAACAGAGTGTTCCCAGAGGGGAGAGCAACATCCGCCATTACGAATAATGGGAACAATTTGAACCTAATGAAAACCCATGACAATGCAATACATGCAAGCCTTAAATGAGAACTTTGCCTTAATTCACAATGCAATGGGTTTTCATAGAATAGAAAAATCAACTTAAATCAAAGCAATTAACACAAGGAGTTGATTTTTTTTCTTAAAGTGAAAAAAAAAACCACACCTAACTTCAAGAAATGGTTCCTTTTTTAAAGACCTACGTTTCTTTATTTAAAAGGTAGAGCGATAAGGAGGGAGAGAATGAGAGAGAAAGAGATCATTGATCTACTGGTTCACTCCACAAACAGCTGAAATAATTGTGAACTGGCCAGAAAAAAGCTAGGAAATGGAAACTCCAACTGGATCTTCCCCATGGTTGCTAGGGTCTCAAATTCTTTGTCCATGTTCCAATAGGAAGGTTTGTTGGAGTGAGATTAGATTAGAAGCAGAGTAGCTGGGACTTGCGCTGGTACTCTGAGATGTTGCCATTACAGAAAGTAGCTTATCCTACTACGCCACATCAAGCTGAACCAATTCAGTTCATTTCTCTAAAACAAAAATGAGGAGCATGAATTTGCTTTGCTATTTAAGGCACCACATACCACAGAGTGCTTAAGCTGGATTGCTGGCTCCAGCTCCTGACTCCAGCTCCCTGCCAGTGCAGTCCCTGGAATACAGCAAATGATGGATCAAGCACTTAGGTCTCTGTCCCCTACATGAGACACCTGGATTGACATTCACGTTCTTGGTCCTGGTTCTGGCCTGGCCCAAGTGCAGCTTCTGCTAACGCTGGTATTTAGGAAAAGATCCCCAACAGATGAGAGCAGTCCTCTCTCCCTCTCTCTTTTTGTGCACGTCTGCCTCTCAAAGAAAACAGAAACGATGCAAAAGTGAAACTGTTAGAAGCTACATATTATTCTCTGATCACTATAAACTACACTTTCACATAAATGAATTCTCAAATGGCTCCAGAATAAGCCATAAATATAAAAGACTTTCAGAAGTTTAAGAGTCTAGGCCTAACACAAAAGCAAGCTTCTTCAAAGGCAACTTCCTGTTGGCAAGTCCTCTCATGATCTGTGAAAGTCCCTGTTCAATCTTGCAAACTGCAGGTGGACATTTTAGCTAACCATATAATCTTAGGTACACAACCTAAAATAGGCATTGCTAATACCCGTTATTGTCTTTAAACTTTAATTACAATGAAACAAAGTATTTCTGGAAAACAATGAAAGGTACGGATTTTTTTTTCAATAAAACTAATTTTTAAAATGCCTCCCTTAAGAATACATAGTTCGTGAAAAAGTATTTCATGTTTATTTACAGACATTACTTTTCAGAAGTTTTTTAACCAGTCCTCCATACTCAAAAAGGCTACTTCTTTTGAAACAAAGCCAAAGAAATCAATAGAAAGCTCTTTACCAAATAATCAGCAAATTTTGGACCTAAGCTCACTTCCATTTCTCTCTGTGAACAATTTCTCTTGGACCACTGTATTCAAACTTTCTCAAGAACAAGTCTCAAGGTTGTGGGGAGCTGCAGCAAGAGGAAAAAAGAAACCCTCATACTACAGAAGAAGGCTTATGTCTAAGCATTTAGAGACACGCGTCCAGTGAGAGCCAATGAAGATGTAAATACAAGCCAGAAAAACACAGACGATTACCTGATATTCGTTGGGCCAAAAGGTGCTCACTGCTAGTTCAGCCCGAAGCCAATCTCGACCCGTGAATCCAGTGACATTCCAAATCGGATTAGCGAGTGGTCCTTTATTGACCCTAACTAATATGTTCAAAGTGCCAGGATTCAGTCCTTTCTGGCTGTACAGCAGGTAACTAAAATCAATGCAATGAGTGTCGTTCTCCTTCATCGTAGGGAGCTGAAGTCTGGCTTTTTCTCCAGGGTCATGATTGGAAGAGTCCACTACCATATAGGAACCTAAAACGACATTATAAATATGAACATGAAGCATATATATCCAAAAATGATTATATAGCAACAGAAGAATAGCAATACATCCTGAACATTAAATTTAACTAGAAAAGATTGAATCTCCAGAACAGAGGCAAAAAGATCCAATCAATTTAAAAGGAAAATTAGATCCATGCCAGCTGATGGAGATTGCTTTAACAAATATACATTAATATTGTCTAATTAACTAATACCATCTATTAATGCCCACATGTACATTAATACCATCCAATCTTGAAAACAGTTTATTCTTTGACAAATTAGGATATTGAGTCCAACAAACAATTTATTCAAAATCATAGAGTAGACCAACTAGGACCTGATTTAGTTCCAGATATCACTCTAAAAATCTCTAGTACTACTAAACAGAAATATTTTCATTAAAATTAACCAGAACTGATCACTTATTGTACTTGTTTACAGAAGATGCACATTTATTGCTGAAAGGAGAAGCACCATGCAGGCAATGGAATAATCTCAGATTTTTAATTCTAGTATCAATGATTGTATACTATTTGCTTTTAAGTTTAGTTCATAGAATAAAGATACTTTGTAGGTAGTATCACGGTGAACTTTAAAATGTAGAGGAGCTCAGAATTAGGCACAAGGTACATGCCCTCACCTGGATTTTCACGCACTACTTGGTCAATTAATAACCACCACTACAGGAAACAATTCTGTCATAACTTCCACAGTCAGTAGAGCCACACCACACACACACACACACACACACACACACACACACACACACACACAAAGTATAAAGCCATAAATCCATTTCACAAATTTTTATTGGTTATTCATGATGGAGACACAGGACATGAGGAGTCCCATTTTCCCAGTGCTGCCACATAGACTTTGCGTTACAGGCAAAGGCCAGGAAGTTATGTAACATAAAAATGCGGCATGCTACTGGGCTGCTGAGAGCATTCCGAGAACCAATTCAGAAATATGTAAGAAACTAGTGTTTTCAGGTGGCTGGATTTTAACAATTACCGCAACAAGATGTGAAAATACTATAGATTAGGCGTAATGCAAGTTTTTAGTTAAAAGAATTGTTCCTTCCTAAATTATAATTTCATTTAAAATATATTAGGTTTGAATTACAGAATCCAGCATTACAGGGTTACACTACTCCTGACATGCAAAAGTAATCAATTATCTGCATTGCAATCAAAAACCTAGTAACTTGTACTGATGACACAAAACATTTGATGTCCACTATTCTGAGTAGTTCAACCAGGCCCCACCAACAGGTTCAAGTCTTGGCAGACGATAGGGCTCCAATTCAATTTCAAAAGTGACTAATTCCTATCAAGTGCTATCTAAACAGTCCAGACCTTTTGTCAAAATTCCATGAAAAGCATTAGAAGAGACCAATACAGCATCGGCCTCCTGTAGTGACACTGACTCATGCGGTTCAGTTCACTTTCCCAGTTCTCTTTTTCTTCTCAGTGACAACTCGTTATTTCTTTCCGGATTCACACAGAATATTTGAACAACCACAGGTTTTAAACAAGATATCCTGTATCTCATCTAAACTTATAGAAGCAAGATGTTTCTCTTCATGGTTATTATTCCTATTCTGCAGTCCATGGCTGACAATGTTCTTCTGAGTGATTGACCACTCCACAGCACAGCAGCTATTGCCCTGCACCAGGAGGAAGCTGAAGACATTGGATGGTGCTTAGTGGGACTATGCTTCTGTTTTTTCTTTTTTTTCTCAAGCTTGAGACAGACTTACCTGCTGCTACAATACTTTTTCCAATGATAGACAGTAGTCACAGTGGACTTAAATTATTTCTACAAGTCTGCACTAATTACAGCCTCTGATTGTCAATTTAAAGTATTGAGCTTTAAATGACTCCTTGGCTTTCTAACAGTCATTTTCTTCTGTTTACAATAAACTTTATAGCAAAATATGCCTTGTGTCACATTTTAATTACATAGTATGATCTTCCCCATCAAGACTATTTAGCAATTTTCAGCCAGTTGCACTTTTAAGCTACAATAATTTTCTTATTAAAGAAATAGGATGAACAAAATATATTTACTTATTGGCATTGCTAATTTGATCATTAGGAAGACAAAAGTCACAAAACAAAAGCTTGTCCAAACTGTCTCAACATTTCCAGGACATTCAAGTGAGCGTAATAATAATAAAGAAAATTAGCACCGATTACTCATAACTACAGAATGCTATTGCTAAATTATCTTCTTTCAACACAGCTATGGAATAATAAATGATTTACTGCACAGATTCAGAAAGGAAAAAGCAAACACCAGTACCAAAAAACTATCTAAATGTTTAACCTACTGAACTGATGCAGCAGCAATCAGTACACTCCGTAGGCTTCTGCTTCACATAAACATCACCCCAAACATAGACAACACTTCTTATCAACCTCTAAAAATTATGTCTGCAGTGCCCTAGAATCGAGATCTCAATCCTGGTAGGTAGAAAATTCTACAATATGCAGTATCTTCAGCTTTTTTTTCCTGTTAATACTAAATACTTATTTAAAATGCAGAACAACTGAGAGAAACACCAATAGAAAAACCTTCCATTTGCTGTGCTAATTCACTCTTCAAGCGGTTGCAACAGCTAAGCTAGGCCTAGGCCAAAGCCAGGGGTGTGGGACTCCACGCTAGTCTCATGTGGTTGACTGGATGGTGAAAGCATAAGGGCCATCTTCCTCTGCCTTCCCACTGCACATTCACAGGGGGCTGGCAGAAGCAGAACAAACTTGACTGGAACCAGACACTCAGATATGAGATTTGGTGCCTCAAGTGGCAGTTTACCCCACTGTGCCAAAATTTCTGCCCACCCCCAAAACCTGGAGAGACTGACATGCTACCTACTGCACTAACAAGGCAGCTGAACCCTGAGATTTTAATTTTAAAATTACTGTTAGTCTAACTGATGGAAGTTCTAAAGTTCTTGTGGTTTAGGTATCTCAAGGCTTAACAGTTGAACACCTATATTTAAACATAAAGATAAAATTATGAACTTGTAATTAGCATAAGTTTGTTAATGTGATATTAAACTACTTCTTACAGTCATATTGAGCAATGGAATTTGCAAATATCTGAGTCAAAACAAAGATAGAATTATATCCTCACACTATTTTTGTAACAAGTAGACTTTTCTACAGAGTAATTTATAGCAAAATCTAAAAATTTGAGGAGATACATACCTTACTTAATCTGGCAGTTCCAAATGTACAAATATGCAATAAATTAACAACCATGTATAATATACAAACACACCACTTTAAAACATGTTTCTTTTCATGATTAAACCCTCTACACATGAGAAAAACCAAAGTATTTTAGTTATTGAATTGGAAACTAGTAAAGAAATAAATATGATATTATTGGGAAACACATTTAGCCCAGAATAGAAGACCTTAGGTGGAACACCTACATTCTACATTTCAGTGTGTGTGTGTGTGTGTGTTGAAGCGCCAGTGCCGATTCCAGCTGCCTGATAATTCAGACCCTGGAAGGCGCTGATGGTGGTTCAAACACTGTGTGCCTGCAACCCTTCTGGAACATCTGGACTACAATCTGGTTCTCAGCTTGGGCCAAACCCAGTCCATTCGATGCAGACATGTGGAGTCAATCAGCAAAGGGGAACTCAGTCCTTCCACCTCTACCATTTCCTGGCAGCCCTGCTTCCCTTCCAGCTCCCTGCCTGTGGCCCGGGAAAGCAGTCTAGGACAGCCCAAAGCTTTGGGACCCTGCACCCACATGGGAGACCCGGAAGAGGCTCCTGGCTTTGGATCGGCATAGTATTGGCCATTGCACTCACTTGGGGAGTGAATCATCGGACGGGAGATCTTCCTCTCTGTCTCTCCTCTCTGTATATCCACCTTTCCAATAAAAAAAAAAATTTAAAAAAAATAAATGAATCTTTAAAAAAAAAATTCAATTGCCGTGACATTAAAAAAAAAAAAAAAAAAAAAAAGATTACATTCATGGGCCTGGCATGGTAGCCTGGTGACTAAAGTCCTGACTTTGCATGCAAGGGGATCCCATATGCACACTTCTCCATATCTCAGCTGCTCCAATTCCCATCCAACTCCCTGCTTGTGGCCTGGGAAAGTAGCCAAGGACAGCCCGGAGCCTTGGCACCCCACACCCACATGGGAGACCCAGAAGAAGCTCCTGTCTTCAAATCAGCTCAGTTCCAGCCACTGTGGCTACTGGGGGAGTGAACCAGCAGATGGAAGATCTTTCTGTCTCTCCTTCTGTCTGTAATTCTGACTTTCCAATAAAATTTTTAAATATTTTTTAAAATAATAAAAATAAATAAAATACTACACACTTATAAATGCATTTACTTTAGACAATTAAATTTTTCATAGTCTGCGTCTGTACTAACAAATGCTTACAAATAAGGCAGATAAATGCAAACAAGAAAAAATATTATAGATAGCAAAATGTTAATAGTATTATTGGGGATTATCACTGTTTTCATTTTTCTTATTTTTGTGTAGATTTTCTGCATATTATACATTGAATATTAGATGTGTACTTTCCATTAAATACGAGACTCAATGACTACTATCTGAAATTAGGAACATCAAATGAATAGCGATAATTCCTTGGTAAGTAAACAAGTTCTGGGGTTTTTAAAAATAAATCCTCTTTTCATCCTGGAGATTAACAGCATCTTGGCATTAACAAAAATGCTACAAAATTCAGCTACTTCTTATTTTTAGTGTATTACAAAGAGAAAGAGTATATCTAGAATAAATGGCATCCCCCCCCCCAAAAAAAACCCAATAATTTAAAAAGCACAGAAAAAGTCTATATCCCAAACTATAAATGAGTAATATTCTCTGGATTTTAACTGTTAATGATTTTTCTATTTAAATTATCCTTCTAGGAATAATATAGCAACACAAAAGTCTAATAACAAGAAATGAGTGATAAAATGGTTTCTGTATCTCACTCTAACA